TTCTTCAGCAGATTTATTTATAAGTAAATAATTTATAATGAATCAGTCTGACTCGGCGCTCAAATTACTCCAGGAAGTTCGTAACACCTACGGCCTGGAAACCTATAAAGTTATAGAAATTGTATTTGTAGAAATCTCTGCGATTCTGAGACAAACAAATCCAGTTTTCCTTCCAGTTAGCTGGTCAAGACATCTCTTCAGGGAAACAGTCAAGATTTAAAATAGCAAAGTCATATAAATGGGAAGTCACATCTTGTATTGCAATCCCTTGTCAAATAAAATTACAAACTAATTGTATAAATAATCTTTATCATTTTTAATTTTGATGATTTTCCTAAAGAATATGGGACTAGTTTACTCAACGAAACTTTGGAATTATATGTTTCTCAGCATAGCTGGCCTTTCTGCAGATACAGTTTTCATGTATGTCTACTTTCCACTAATAGATCAAATCTTGTTCAAAGTTCGTATTAACTAATTTAATAAATTAAAACAAGCGCCAAGTGTATTCTAGCAACATATCTTTCATTATAGTTTACTTACTGACTCAAATAATATGTCATATTATTTTGCAGAGGCGGATGTCCACACTTTCCCTTTTAAATAACATCCAACAGTTTTGAGGTGCCGATGAACATGATGCATTGGTTCAGATACATTACAATAATAATAATAACATTAACAATGGAATATGACTCAAATAAACAGCTAAACAATACACAAAATATTCTTTTATAAAATCAACTTACACATACCTTGGTCCTATTTCCCAGTATAATTGAATTGGGTTAATAATAACACTAATAATTATTTCAGAAACATTAGCTTAACAGTCATATTTTTCTAAGGTCAATACAACTAGTTAGCACTTTATTTCAAGGGTGTAGACAAGTGTTGAAGCAATTGGTTTAGATTTGTAACAGTTTGATATCACGTGAGTATACCTATTAGCCAATAAACTGAAGGATATGTACAGAAGTGTTACAGCAAGATAAAGTTCTTTAAAAAGTTGATTAAAACTTCTTTTAAGTTTGTATTACCTATAGTGCAATGAGTATTCGATGAAAGAAATACTAAGACAAGTACATCAACTAGAAAACTATTAAAGGCCACACTATTAGTACATAAACATTATGATGTTTAACTATCATAAGCTGAACAACGTAACTTTTAGATCCAACCATCTACACTATTAAGCTGACTTCTGCCTCAGCCCATATCTTCGTTATGAGACAACACTATCACTTCTTTACCATAGAATCAATCTTCCAAACCCAGATTAACCAAAGTAGTTTATTTAAATAATTTATAAGGTAATTCCATTTCCGTCCACAGGAAAATAAACAGTGTCATATCGTTGATTTGGATACTCATAATCGACTAAATTGTATATGGGCATTTGAAAATTGAAGAGATATCTGAGACAGAACTGATGAATTCTAGAATTTCAGCTGTCTAGCTAAACTTTGCCTAAAGACAATTATGAATAATATGAGACAGAAATGTACTTACTTGTCAGTTGTGAGGTGAAAATATATCTCTTTAACAACTGTTATTTTTTAGAGGCTACCAGAGCAGTTAGTATGACTAGTACAGAGTGGAAAGGTGTTGTGAGATAGTTCATTTACTAATTCATCCCCGAGCCTCATTTTTAATGTCTACACTAGTTGCATAGAAATATAACCTCATGGCGTTTAGGAAATTTTTTACATTCTGATTATATACCGGTAAATTAAGGCAGATTCAAGATAGTGTTATAAATACTAAAAGAAGAATGTGCCTTGGATATTTTTTGTGCCAGAAGGTTTGTCTTAGCAAAAAGAATCGAGCATTAATATAACAGTAGAATTTGAGCACTACGGTAGAAACACGATGGTTTAACTCAATGCCTAATACTAGTGATCCTAGTAGAGCGTAATGCACTATTAAAATTCATAAAGCAGAATACCTTATTAGGCCAGTAGTTGACTTTAAGAACATTGTGACACATGAACTGTCTAAATAATTGTCCCATTAGAGATGGATCAGGTTCTAGGCTAACTAAATCATATTAAATGAAACTTAAATCTAGAGGAAATTCAAGTACAAAAGGATGAAAAAATGGTCACTTTTGAAGTAACAAATTTATAAACTAATATTCTGATTAATGCAGCTTTGGAAGCAGTCAGGAATGAGTTGAACCAGTAGGTGTCCAATTATGTCTGTAACGACAGAAGGCAAGAGTCGGGCAACAGATCATTTATTAAGGAAATCAACGCATATTTATATATTTTCATGTACATTATTATGGATAGTTAAGCGAACAAACACAGTCTTCCGATTGGTTGTTTCTCACTTAAAATTAATCTTTCATCTCTTTGAGACTGTTTCTTGAATGTCAAATCCTCTATATGTTAACTGCATCCGCCTACGCAAAGTCTGCTGTGGTCGGTTTTGAATCAATCTTTGTTCACATTTTCTGACGACAAATCTTGGGAACGTAAACATTGACGTAAATTACTGTCTACCAATTTGGCTAGTAGACAGCTCTCACCACATGTCGGACCTCCACTGCCTTCAAATTACAAAATAAAACAAAGAAAGAAATCTGTTGATGATGAAATCGCCAGTATATCCAGGAGGAAAGGACCGAGTTATGCATAGTGGGGGACGTAAAGTTTTTAGAGCGTCTAGTACTGCACTTTGTTATGTTGAAGATATATAGATGATACATTCACCGTGCTGATATATGAAAGTACCTTTAAGTTCTTCATGCTTAGATCAAGTTCAGTTCACTTTCAAGTTAAAAAGTGAACAGGATGAATCAGTTATGCTAGACGGCGAAATAAAACGACAAAAAGATGATGTGTTAGGTACTAGCATCTATAGGAAACTGTCGCATTCTAATAGGCATTTAGACTATGATTCATCTTTCCAAAAATCTGTAAAAGTTGATTCAGATAAATTTCTATGTAATCGAGTCAGGATCGTGACCAGAAAGTTAAGGATTTAAATAATACAACCAAATAAATAAGGAAAAGATTACTACTGAATAACTACCTACCAAATTTTATTCAGAATTGTATGAAGACACAGGAAAAATAGGACTAGTGCTATAAACAAGGAAAATAGTATAAAAAATAAGGAAAACAAAGCCGTGATAGTACTATCATTCTAAGAAAAAAACTTTAAAGGCCATAAGTAGAATTCATAATAAGGCTAATATTGGGGTGGCCTTAAGACCAACTACCTGTCTTAGAGATAAATTTTCTTTAAATTAGGCAACAAAGGTTAATAAAGCAGGATTTAATGGATTCGTCAAATTTCGGTAGAACTCGTCAGCTGGATGCTCTACATTAAAGGATATATATATATATATAACACTAGAATTAGATTGGGACATTTAACACTGGTAAGATATCAAGAAATTCGAACTAAATAATATTGAGGATAATAGTAATGACAATAATAGTAACAATGATAATCACCAGATATAATAATGTCAAAACAAGTTAAGATAACTCTAATGATCAATGATAGTTTTAAGTAAATCAGAAATAGTAATGATAAGGGGTAGAATAAAATATTATTAATAATAACGGTTAATAAATAAAACATATCATCATGGTAGATTTAGAGTCATTATCACTTCCATTTTGTACACAGAGACCTGGTTTATAAACTCTAATTGCACAGGCCTCCGCAGTTGTAAAACATCTTCCTACTTCTTTGTCTGCTGACAACAGTGAGCCACTTGACAGCAACAATATCATGTCAGTAGTCCACAAGATACTCTGTTATTGGACTTCTAGGCACTCTGACTTCAGCTGTTTTCAGCTACTTTAGCAAATGCTTCAACATGCGAGTAGACAATCGCCTTTCTTTACGACCTATATATTTGCTTCCAAGAACACACTCAAACTGATATACGCTGTTTTTAGTGTCGAGGATTGGCGAATGATCTTCCAAGGTTGTTGAAGCACCTGTCTGGTGGTGTTAAGGATGACGAGTTTTGAAGCCTAATGAGTTCTTTTGATAGCTTTATCAAGTCTTCATTTAAATATTTCTTTTACTTCATCTCCTTAGGACGGTAAATTGATATATACAAATTTCTTTGAAACTGCCTGAATAGCTTTACTGAGACTCATTTCTTTAGAGTATTTATTAATGAACTCCTGGGGATATCCATTCTTAGATAAAAAATCCTCCAGAGTCTTTATTTCATGTCCAATTGTACTGTGAAAATAAATTTTTCGTGCTTTGCCGAATAGTGTTCTGACTAAGTTCTTTTTATATTGGATTAGAACAGAACTTTTAAAATGTATGTAATATCCTATCCATGAAAACTTCCTAAATTTAGATCTTTCCATTTTGTCATCAGTCTTTTTCATCAGAGAAACACCTAGGAATTTAATGGTATAATTTTCCTCGTGTTCTGTTGTGAAGTTAAGATTCAGATGGAATGAGTTGAATTTTGTCAAAAAGTCTTCAGATTTTCATTTACTTTCAAAGACAATATAAATATCATCAACACATCTTAGATTTATACTTGTTAATACTTGTGTTTATGAATCATGATTGGACAAAGTTTTTAAAAAGATGTGCCTTTTATATATAAAACCTCTGTTATGTTAATTTTGATTAATTTCCCTGAAGAAGTTTGGACCAGATTGCCGAACGAAACGTTGGAATTACTTATTTCAATATCGCTGAGATTTTACAAATATAATTTTTTACAAATGTTGTACATGTTGTTGTAAAATACTACCTTCTAGACCTGACGAGAGTAAATCAGCGAAAAGTGATCCTAGGCAGCTTCCCATTGCAACACCATCAGTTTGACGAAATCGACGCCTAACGAATTGAAATTGGACATTATTGGTACATAAAAGCAATGGTGTCCTCAATCCCCGAAGTTGGATCGGGTGTGTCGTTAGCTTCTCTACATATTAACTCAATAGTCTCAACGACCAGAACACTTGTGAGTACGAAGGTAACATTGAAAGAGACCGTATGCTTACCAGATACATTCACATTATTAATTTGCTTGACAAACTGGAATGAATCAGAAACTATATACCTTCCAAAGGATTTTCGCAAAGGTTGCAATAATTCACATAGCCAATGCGCTGTTCTGTCGTATGGTGGATTTATCATCAAAAGCATAGTTCTTAGTGGCGCTCCTGGCTTGTGTATTTCAACACGCCCATAAAAGTTTGGGACCTGTGACCCAATGGGTTTAATATTCATCTGTGTATTTCCATTAATGTATTTCTTCTTGAAAAGTTTTCTTAAGTACTGCACAATTTTTCTTTCAATCGACAACAGTTGATCTTTGGCATAACTATCCACTTCAAACTTGAATTCGTTAATCTTAACACTTTCATTAACATAGTTTCTTAGTCTCGCAGAGCGAAGTACCACTGAGATGATCCTAAGCTTCCTATAGGCCATAATAAAATAAAATCTCAGATAGTATTCAAAAGAGCCAATCTGTGGTGCATAATAGTCAAAATATCCATTGGAAAAATACTCGTGGTTCAATGAGATTCACATACGTCCAAACAAACATTATTCTTGTATCTGAATTGTAACAGTGAGGATTTGTGATAGTTATTTCGACTTGCTAAAACCTATAAAGTGACAAGAGTGTGTCAGTCACTTTCGTCTTCCAGTAAAGTTGCATTTTCCAAAGCTGGATTCTGTATATACTTATTATACGTCTACGTTATATATATTTTCCTTTCTATTATATATACTAGAGACAAGATACTATGGCGAAATCCACCTAAGAATAAATGACAAATTATCTCCTCAGCTAAATAATTGCAACACTTATTTCCATAAAGTTTCATCGCTTTTTAATCAAGGAAAGCCAGCTTCGTGGAATTCTGAATCAAAGTTAAATAGTCTTACCGTAAGACTTGCAGTTGAATAGCTTTTGTCCAAATAGCTATAAACCAGAACAGGTAAAATCTCTGTTTTATGGAGTCATGAAAATATTCTTTAGAGAAATTAGAAGAAGAATTTCTGATTCTCGAAAAGATGTTGAAAAACAATGGTAACCCCCAGATGTTCATTAACAAAGATGGAAGATATGAAGGCTCTAATGCCAAACAAATCACAGTTGAGAAAAGCCTATCTTCATTCAAACTGATTTTAAAGGTGACAGTGTTGCAGGAATATTCAATATAAGATTGAATATGTCACTAACCAAAACCCATCCTGCAGCTTAGTTGGTTCCTGTTTATCGGACAACATGCTCTTTGGTGCAACCAAAAGTCAACAGATACCCTTCTCATGTTAACTCCAACTGTATATACAAATTTACATGTATCTGCAGGAGCAGTTACATTGGAAGAACAAAAAGAAGGACATACCTCCGATTTTCTGAACATGTACCAAAAGGCCTATATCAAGAGGAAACAAATGGTTTTAGCGGTGTAATTGCCAGGCATCTCCTTGATACGGGTCATTAGGAGGACGTCGCAAGATCGTTCAGAATTATCAGTAGGCTGAAGAATTCGATTCTCCTCAAGTTTGCTGAAGCCATCTCCACCAGGCACCTGAAATCTGATTCATGCGTTTGAAAGAAGCGATTATCGGTCTTTCTTGCCCTGGCAACCGGATGTTTTCATCCTATCCTTCATTTGATTACTTAACGCCAAAAATTCCGTTGTGCATGATTATTATTGTTTGGGATAAAGTGATTATTATTATTACCATTGTGTGCATATATTGATTTTTTATTTAACATGAATTCTCTGTGTAAGTATGTTAAAATTGCTTCTGTACATAAATTTAATAATGTCTTTTTGCTGTAAGCAGCTGATGAGAGGTCGACAAAATAAATGATGGTGCCATTTATTCTGCAAAAGCTGTTGTTGCTTTATTCCAACTCCTTCATGTCATTTAAATTTGACAGGGCGTTACAGCTGTCTCTAAATGTATTCTTCTTACTTTTTCAGTCATTCATATGTCCAACCACGGATGATTGCATCTGAGCACGTCCCATGTGATTTAAAAAAATATTTCATGCTTTACGTTTTTGTCTAAGTGTCTAAAGCTTTAAATGAGGTGATAGTCTTTCATCTTCTTTAATAGTGTTTAACTATTCTTTTTGAATTATATTGTTGTATTGATTTCTATTCAGAAGATCAATACTTTTAAGACTGTCACTTCACTGTCATTTAAATTACTTCAAGGGGACTTAAATTCCATAAATGATCATAAATCACAAGACTGTCATGAAAATTTTTAAGCTAACATGATTCACGTGAGTATGTGTACAGTTTGTTTGCTGAGCAAAGTACATTTAAATCTACTACTACTTTTTATTTACTGTTTAATATGGTACAATTGTAATATTACCGATGTTATTCTAATTATTCTCAGAATACAATTATTATTAAATAACCAGTTTTATGTGCATCGGTGGCACAGCGGTAGAATGCTCGCCGACCACGCATGTGGTTCACGGTTTAATCCTCGGTCAACGCACTCCTTTACCTAGTTAAGCTAGTAATAAGACTGGTAAAAAGGGAAGGTTGGATATGAGTCTAGCACCCTCATCCCGTAAAAATAGAAAAACCACTGCTACCGAAACTTCAGGCCTATAGCTTGAAGGCCTATGTTCCACTGGGAACGTAAAGGATTAAAAATCCAAGTTTTATCTATACTTGTTTGCATACTAATTAGCTACTGATGATGATAAACATGGCCATCTTGTTTTAACTGTTCATCAAAATCTATGACTGTAGTGTGTAATGAGGCTAATTACCGGGATAAGTAGAAGAAGATTAGATGTAACCAATCAGAAGCTCTCTTCCACCTAGATTTCATGTTTTCTCCACTCATGAGACTGGTTTATCTTAAACCTTAATTATCTGCCTAAAGATTGATTGATTTTGCCTGGTAGTCTAATTCATGAGTTATCATGAAATAGGTAGTCTGTACAGCACCTGTACTCATTGATTCTACTTTATCTCATGAGCATTTAAAAATAAAGCTACGAATCTGAGAAGTGAACCGTTGAATGAATACTTATTTTCCACATTGCATCAGTCTTTTGTAAACAAGTTTAGCTCTACTAAACTACGTAAATTGGTAGGTTGATACTCATTGCTGATGGTCACGTAATATATCGCAGATTGACAGAAGTCAGAATTTAATGGCCACCGGATCCCATCTCAGTGGCTGAATAGCCAACGAACTCTACTTGTAACCTGAAAGTCCTGAGTTTGTTCCCTGAGGGAGGAATTCGTGGGTGCGCGCTGTGAAGAGTCCCAAACTAGGGTGAAATAGCTGTCTAGTGCTTCCTTTTTCACAGTTCGTGATCACGCTTACAGTTTTAGCAAACCGTTTTCTTGTGAGGATCATAATTCCCCAACATTAAGATAATATTACACAAATGTAACTGTGCAACAAAGCAGTCCTGAGACAATTTTTTTAATTTTAATACATAATACATCATTCTTCTCCAGTACTTTAACGTTTATTATTCTTCAGGTGAGAAAGAGTCACTTGACAATAGTCACCTGATATTGCTTATTTATTCAACCATAGAATTATTTTATACTATAAAATGAAGGAATTATTTCACTTTTTTATTAAACCAACTGTGTTACCTACCCTGATCAGGAGGAAGTAGGCTTACCTTGTTTTTCAAGTTGAATAGTATTTGTCGATTCTAACTGAATAAATTTTCAGTTTAAGTGTTCGAATCAAAGTCCAAACTAATCTCTTCACTTATCTAACTGCTTATATGTTTTTGTCGACATTACGTTTCAAAGAGGATTTCATATTAGATATTTTGATACTCATATAAGCTATAAAAAAGACAGTAATGGTTGCTATATTTCTTCATGATATGAAAATAATAGATAAAATACATATGACATCTAGCTGACAGACGGAACTGAAGGTGAAACCTGATCAGTAATCATAATACGTGAATAGAAGAATAGATTTGATTGGACACTAGTAGCTAGTGTGATGTGTCTGGTTCTTTGTTTGGTGCAGAATGAATCATATCAGTCAGGTTTGTAATGTGACCACCATTCTAGGTGGTTCGCCATCACAGTGCACACTGATATTAGGCAATCGGCAGGAAGCCTTGCTTGACCTAGGTTTCGTGCTAGTTGGCAATCCTCAGCAAGGCGTATCTGCAACCTTGAAGATCAACTTCACGTGTGCCAGCTAGCACGAAACCTAGGTCAAGCAAGGCTTCCTGTCGATTACTTCCAACCATCTAATATCAACAAAAGAATAGATTGTTAAGTTATATTTTTACTATAAGACACTGTACGCTTGTTGCTTAGACTTTTAATAACCTTGAAACATAGTTCTGTGATGAAAGCAGAATCGTATTTTACATGACATCTGACCAGAGAAAGTGACTGGTTAACACTGAAAATCCCTTATCGCTTATAAAATACAAGCTAATGCTCCAGAAGTAAAACCACTAGGCTAATGAGTATGTTTCATGAAGTTGGAAGAAAATATTTAAAGAGCATAAAGTGAAGCATGAAAATTATTCATTTTTGTCCACATAATATTGTAACAAGTGAATTTCCCCGTTTACAAAATCCACAGATTTGTAGACAATACAATATGCAGTCAAACTGAAAATTTATGTCAACACTTAAGTTAAGAATTTAAAATGTGTCTTTATCATGACATCTATGGTGTCCATCTACAAATGGCCTTCAGTCAGAAATCCTATCTCTCACCTAATAATTAATTACAGATTATTTCTAACTATTTTACAGACAAACCCAACCTAGATATTCTAAAAACACTCTAATATTTACAAATAAGTACTCTTTTACTAAAATATTTGCAAAGCTTACTAGGTAGGTTAACTTACAGTTGACCCACAGACATTTACATGTACAATGGAAATATTTGCGTACAACATAATCCAGAGTTTGTTATATGTTTCCATAATATCTGTTATATATGCTGAACGAATCACTACTGATAGTAACGGACAAAATAGGATGGTATTTCTGTTATAATTATGCATAGTTTTGTATCATCGCTATACATATTGTGCGCATTATTAGATTATTCTCTTAATTTCTCCCACATATTTATTTACGTTTTGTAGTAATGCCTACTAGTATGATAAGAAGGAAAGCTTTTAGTTGCCACTGGACCAATAGAAAGGTGAATAGGTGATGGAGCATAAAAAAGGATAAAGAGCTGCATTTATGCTTAAAAACAGCCAATTGAAATAAATTCAGTTGCAGATAAAGGTAAAGTGAATTAATTAGCAGAATATGATTAACAATTTTTGAAAAAGCAAATTAAGGAAACTAAACTGGATCACAACCAGTGTGATATAAATAATGAGATGACGGCAACTATAAATTAAGGATAGGTGTTTTCAGTCAACCTCTATGGGACAGTGGCAGTAATAGGAATAGCCAAATGTCATTCTCTCTAACCACAACGTTGACTATCTCAAAGATGGGAAGTACCTTCACATTTTCATGTTTAGCTTAATAACACGTGATACAAGCCTCATCACCCAATGACCGCTTCCAATTATCTTACAAAACCAGATATTTTGAAAAGTTAAACAGCCTACAGGTGGGTAGTAAATAAGGAATGAAAATTTCCTTGCATCTATGATGTTGTTTTTATGTTACCTAACTGAATTAACATCCAAACCCCACTTAAACTTGTAGTCAGTGCCACTTTTTCACCTTTATATTGATTGATTGCAAATCCTAATGATTTTCTCATGTAACAAATTAGAATGTGTACTATACACAGATAGCCATGGTTGTTTCATAACTTACGCTGCTACTTTAATTAAGACGCTAAGTAGTACTCAGACAAACACACCACTAAGGGCACTAAAAAGCTTACTGCTAACTTATAGGTTTTCACTTCTGTCTACTTTAGGGAATACATTAACAGATTTAGCAGAAAAAGCAAAATTAAAAAGAATTTAAGAGAAACGGACAACTTTCTATTCATCTGCTTCAAACTACAACAAGCAATAAACGCATTCAGTGAAGTAAATAAAATATTAACTCTTGCAAATCAATATGAAACAAGAATTAGCTTCTCAGTATATATATATATATATATATGAATTCGCCGAAAAGAGTCTCTTCACTGATCTGTTTGTCCTTATTTGCATTTAATGATCCATTTACTGATCCTACCTTCGCGAAGCCTTTCTTTTGTGATGTTTAATCACAACTTTTCAGGTTTCTATAAGTAACATAATCAATACGTAAAATGTAATAACTGTTCATGGTCACAGACATTTAGATTGTTCAATGGTAGATTTATTGAGATTGTCTAACTATAACACTGTTAAGTTAATCGTTTTCAGATATACTGAATAAACAGTGAACTGTACACCTTTGATGGAATAACCATTGAATCTGAAGCGTCCGACAAGTCTTTTACAAAACATGTAAAGACAGAAGTACGTAACCCCGCATAAACGTCCACCAGGTATTCCGAGGTGACATATTCAGTTTGGAGAAATTTCTTAACAAATTACCTAGATTATATCTGCATCGAAAATCAGGTAAAGCTTAATCATCTGAAAGTTCTTGTAGATAAGTCACGCTCCTGAACCTTTAAATGAATTTTCCTAATGAACTAATTTCTCTCAGAAGTTACAGTTTACATTAGATATTGCGTGAGTAATGCAATTGCATTGTTACTTAGGTGAATACGCCAATATACATAGGGATTTCAAATAACACTACCACACACCATAAATATTAGGCGTATTTAAAACACAGTCATGTGATACACATGAGGTGTACTGGATTATTTTTACAAATTTTTCAGTACATTATAGCTACTAAAGATCATAGTCACGTGTAAAACTTCATTGTTAGTTAACATTTGAATAAATCTATTGATTTTAGAGGTGTAATGGAAATGTAAAGGCGAAAGTGCGTATAAAACAGTTCACTTGACTTCTAAAACTCATGATCACTGGATCTGGTTATCATGAATACGGGATTTTTTGTTGTATTGCATCGTTAGTGGTAGTTGGTAAGAGGCTATGAACCTAAGTTTAATACTTACAGACAACTGATGACATGACGCCACTTCAAATTACACTGCAGTGTCAAGTTTCCTGGCTTGATGATTTTAAAGCTAGTCGGACTGATAGAATTTGGTCATCAGCAAGCACAAGACAACGTGACTACCTAGTGACTAATTGGTATTTCGTCGTTTAGCTTCACACTGAAAACCTTACTCTTCAGTCGTTAGTAGTAAAAAAATGACCATAATAAATCCTCCTCCTCATGATAATGTTCTAAATTTTCACTAGATGTGAAGTATTCTTAGCATTTTCACTTACAAACTTTTAAGTTATTACTGTCCGTCAGTTGTTCATATCACATCACATCATTGTGGCTAATAATACTGAATTCATTTTTCCTGTGAATATATCGGTATATTGATAACTTCGGTGTTTTATGTGTTTATCAAGTGAAATAACTCATTTAGACTTCTGATTTTCTTCTGTTTACGACTTCAACCAAAATAGTCTATTGTGATTAATGCTGGCCATAAACTGATTTTACCGCTTATAACTCTTACCTTTTTCCATTGGCTAAAGCATATTTTAACGTATTGGCTGCAAGAGCTGTCCACAAGGGCTGTTGAAAAATGAGTGCTTTTGTCCTCCAGAATTTTTTCGATGCTGTGGAGTTCCAGTATTGATGGGGTTGCTAGAACCACACTCCACCTTCCTCTTTTCGTGAGCTTTTAAGAGGCTAGTAAACCAGGTGAGGTTATAAGTTAACCTGGATTTGTGTTCGAGAGCTATAACTTAATTTGAAAGTGTTTAAGAAAATGAGCTTTACGTTGTATTTTTGAAATGTTTACATATTTTCAACAATTTCTGACTGAAGAGTACTGATTTTGTTTTATTCTTTGGTTTAAATGAATTATCACTGAACACATCAACCACTCTCTTGGTTATTCAGAGGATAATTGATGCAAAACAGAATGAGGTACTCATCTGCTTCATTATATTATGTTATTATTATATCCATTAATTCCTAGAGGAACATAGGGCTTCAGTCACACGTCTCCATTGAGTTCGGTTCTCTGCTAGAGTCTTCACCAGGCTCCATGTCTGCCCGCACGTTTTCATCTCCTCTTCACATGACCTCCTCCAAGTCACTCTTGGACGACCAACTCGCCGCTTCCCTTTCGGGTTCCACTCAAGCAATGGCTTGTCTAGTGATGTCACTTGATGGTTTCCTCAGAGTATGGCCAACCCATCTCCATTTCCTTCTGCATATTTGTTTCACAATCGGTTCCTGGTTGGTTCGCTCCCAGAGATCCCTGTTGCTGATCCTTTCTGGCCGGCCATCTGATCTTGAGTATTGAGCGAGGACAACTGTTAATGAAGGTCTGTAGTTTGTTTGAGATGCTCTTTATGACGCACCAAGTCTCTGATCCATATAGTAGCACTGACTTCACATTGGAGTTGAAAATCCGGATCTTATTTTTGATGCTGAGTGCTGTTGACCTCCACACAGACTTGGGAGTAGTGTAAGCTTGTCTTGCTTTTCCGATTCTTGCTTTGATATCCTCGTCAGTTCCGCCTGTAGTTGAAACGATGCTTCCCAGGTAGGTAAAAGAGGTTGTTTCTTTCAGGTTCCTCCCATTTATGCTGATTGTTGTGTGTTGCTGTTGTTGCTGTTGGTGGTGTTGCCCTGGAATCTTCACCACCTCTGTTTTCTCTATGTTGACCTGAAGTCCTAACTTTGATGCTTCTTCTGCCAACTTGTTGCTTTTCGCTTGCATATCTTCCAGTTTGTGGGAAATCAGACATATATCATCGGCGAAGTCCAGATCCTCCAAGATTTTGTGTGAGTCCATTTTATGCCTGTTTCCTCATTGCTCACTGTTTGTTGCATTATCCAGTCTACTGCAATCAGGAAAATCACTGGCGATAGTAGGCAGTCTTGTCTTACTCCTGTCCTCACTTCGAAGGATTCCGTAAGTTTCTTGCATCTGCTTCATAACCCGTGTTTTTTAAGAGGTAGAAACTACCTAAGTCTTTGCATCCGTGGTTCTTCGGTGAGATGTTCGACAAACACGTCCATGGGCTGGTTTCGATTCCTTGACGATACACTCTTAAGCCTCAACTGGCTTACTACTTGGCAGTAAGCCAGGAAAAGATGACGTAAGGCTAACAACTCTACTCTATAGAAAGAAACCACTGCTACTGAGACTTCAAAGCTAGAAGAACTACGTTAGACTGTTGTGTTAAATGAAATGAGTTTCAATATTTGCAGGATCAGCGATTCCTTCAAGGTTATTAATATAATTCTCTGAAGATTGCCGGAAGACTGGGGACAGGTTTCAGTCTCCTGGTTTTAACGCTGAGATCTGTAGGCTTAACTAAATCGTAGGAATGCTTTATTTTGAACTCATTCCAAATATATGTATTTGATAGATGAAATACTTAAGCACATTTCTATTAATATTTCGAGCTGTTCTTTAATAATTTGCAAGTTTTTACATATCTTTCATGAAACAAAGAACGATGTGAATACTATTTAGTGAAGAAATCAAACTCAACATAAATATAATATATTCAGTAGGCAAATGAATATATTTCGATGATGTATTTAATGACCTCAAGTATGATACAACTGTTATAATAATCAGAATTGTCACTGAATGGTTTAATTAGCCATTTGTCTTACAAAGCGTACAAACACTTAGTGAAAAGTTACTGAAATGTGTTTATGTGTATGTGTTTATTCATAAGTGTATGGCATCAAATGCAACTCATGGATCAATTCAAAGTTTCGTTATTCGCCTTGATTGTTAGACTATCTACATTCTCAAGGTGTTTCAATCATTCTGATTATCAC